TTTGGTTTGGTTTTTGGTTTTGTGTTTTTTTTTTTTTTTTTAGAGAAAATGTTTGCAGCTTATTTTGATTGCCCAGGAGGCCCAGAAAATCTCTATATGAAAGAAGTGATGAAACCAAGTCCAGGACAAGGAGAAGTTCTTGTGAAGGTCTCTGCCAGTGCTCTGAATAGGGCAGATTTACTCCAGGTATGTATACGTTAAGCAGATTTATGCAGCTGAAAATAACACTGATTTTTCAAGCCCCTATCTGAGGTCTTGACAGATCAGAAGAGTTAAAAGAGGTTGGAAGTCAGGAGCATTTGGATGGGAGATTTCATAGGGGTGAAAGAAGAGATGTCTGTTGATTCAGCAGATAAATGTTTTTATCTGGGTCACTGCAGTGCTGGGCTGGTGTGGAAAGGCAGCTGCCTTTCAAGAAAACATGTAAAACCAGAGCTCTGGTCTTTCTAGATGCTTAGACACTTCTCTGGACATTTGAGATGAACAGGAAATGTTTCACTGGCCCAGTCCCAGTGGGAGAAAATCACATTCAAATTATTAAGTTTGATCTGCAAGCCATGCTCTGCAACTGGGGACCATAGTACCTCCTCAGTGGAGACTGGCCTGGAAAAAGGAGACTCACAAAAAAATGAAATTATTCTTATTTTAAGAACATACTTAGGAAACAAGAAGTGTTTACAGAGGAGAGAAGATCCTCAAATTACTGGAACATTTGCACAGTGCAAAATCAGGATTAAATAGATAGGAATTTAGGTTAGAGACATGCAAATGAAATATTGCAATTCATTACCTTCAATGAGGTGTTGCTTTTCCTTCCTTGCCCTCTCTTTTCTTTTATTTTAGAGGAGAGGGAAGTACCCTCCCCCGGAAGGAGCAAGTGATATTTTAGGCTTAGAAGCAGCTGGGAGTGTGGCTGGGCTGGGTCCTGGCTGCAGGGGCCGGTGGAAGATCGGTGATGCAGTGATGGCTCTGCTCTCCGGAGGAGGTCAGGCACAATACGTTACAGTTCCTGAGGGCCACCTGATGCCAATCCCCAAAGATATGACTTTTATCCAGGCTGCAGCCATTCCCGAAGCCTGGTTAACAGCATTTCAGCTGCTGCATTTTGTAGGTGAGAGGTGTATTTGCCCATCTATCCCCAAACAGCTGATATTCCTTTCTGTTCTGAAATCCTTTCTTTGTTGCCTCCATCTGAATGCTGTTTGCCTTTCCTGTGTCACTTCATTCCCATGGGTCAGAATTTGGTATGCCACACACAAATCCTGAAATCTTGACCACCTCTCCCCACTCATAACTTACCCTGTTGATTGCATATTTACAAGGAAGGATATGGAAAGATGCTCAGTTTTCTTTTCATTTATATTTCCTAGCTTGAATCACTGAATGGTTTGGGTTGGAAGGGACTTTAAAGATCATCTAGTGCAATCCCCCTGCCATGGGCAGGGACACCTTTCATTAAGTCTAAACCCTCAAATAACTTCCATGTTCTCCAAACAGCTGAAAAGTCATCCTATTTCTAAGGATTTGACTTCACTTGCAAGCATGCCCATATAATGAACTTTCTCACTAATTGCCTTTGGACCTACAATAGGCAACATCTCCTTGTACCTTGTTTCACAGAGACATTAATTGTAAGTAAAATCCCCTCTGAGCTGATTCAAAACAGTCAGAAGCTCACACTCTTCACTTTGAAAATACACTGCCAAGGCACTACAGTAGCACTTGCCAGGGTTTTCCTCAGGTGAGAAATATCCTTCTTCTACCTTCTTCAGCAGTAGCACCTAAAAGTTCCAGTAAAGAACAGAAGTTCCAAACAAATAACTTTCCTGTAGACTTGCTTCAAGCAGTGTTGTTTCCTGGGGATCACTTCCAGATCACTTTAAATTAATGCGTTAGAGCAACTGATAGATAATTGGTAGAACTGGTCCTTAACATTACCCAGCACTTTGGATGTTTCTCCATTGTTGAGTGCCTGATTTTTCAGTATGAACATCCTCCAGCAGTGTTTTTTATTGGTGGAATAAAAAGGCTGATTGCACTCACTTAAGCATCTCGGTCACAGATGCCCAGAACTGGACAGGGCCAAGATAAAGTCATTCCACTGAAACTGGTAAAAAGAAGTTCTGTCAGCACGCTGTGACCTCTGTTAGTCCTGGGTTTGTTTCTCTTATGAAAGATATGAAGATGTAAACAAAGCCCACAAGGGCATCTCTTTCAACCCCCTCTTCAGTATTTTCCATGCTGTTCATGTTTTAATCCAAAGGTGATGCCCAAAGGGTGACCACTCTTCCCTGATGTCCTCCTTCAGGTAATATACAGGAGGGTGAGACAGTGCTGATCCATGCTGGAGCCAGCGGAGTTGGCATGGCAGCCATTCAGCTGGTGAGACTGGCAAAAGCAATTCCCATCGTGACAGCAGGAACTCAAGAGAAACTGAAAGCAACAGCAAACGCCGGAGCAGCTGCAGGGTTCAACTACAAGAATGAAGATTTTAGTGAAAAAGTCTTGGAGTTCACCCAAGGTAAGAACCTCTCTGTGAAAGAGCCTGTGACAGCTGGGGAGGAGTTTGTACCTCCCAGCATGTGCACATACACTCGGTTTCAGCTGTCGCCTTAGTCGGTGAGGGAGCAGACAGTAGTGACCCTGTTAGCACAACCTGACACACTGTTCGGCTCAGAATGTGCCTTTCCTTAGTTTAATTGCGCTGTTTTCTGCATGGGCTCTCTTTATCTGTGTTCATTTGGGGCGTAAATATTGTGACGCCTTATTGTTGCCTCCACAAAGAACTGTGGGACCGAGTCCTCACACTTGTCTTTGTAAGAATCACCACGGAATCACAGAAGGATTTAGGTTGGAAGGAACCTTAAAGATCATCTTGTTCCAAGCCCCTGCCCTGGGCAGGGACACCTTCCACTAGACCAGGGTGCTCCCAAGCCCCATCCAACCTGGCCTTGAGCACTTCCAGGGGTAGGGTATCTACAGCTTCTCTGGGCAACCTGTGCCAGTGCCTCACCACGCTGGGTTCTCACACTGCTAGAAAATTTTTTTGGGGCCCAATTCTATAATTCCTTACAAATCATTGTGACAATTCCTAATTTCAGTAGAAAGAATTAAATGAGAATTGCAGGGTTGATTCTGTACCTATAAAGAACAAGGTTGTAGTTTTCCCTGAGATTATCCCAGCCTTTAATGCAGCTCAACTACATTGCTGAAATCTCTCCTGATTCTTCTTAAGGTTCTGGAGTGGATATTATTTTAGATTGTGTTGGTGGCTCATACTGGGAGAAGAATCTCAACTGTCTGAGTACTGATGGCCGGTGGATTATTTATGGACTACTGAGTGGAGGTGAAGTGCATGGGGATTTGCTAGCAAGGCTGCTCTCCAAAAGAGCCAGCATCCACACGAGTCTGTTACGGTCACGAGACAAGGAGGCAAGTAATGGCTATCAACAGTCTGTGCAGTTGGACCGTAAAATTGATGATAGTTTTCTTTTAAAACTAGTGTTAAACACCTTCTTGCAAAAAAAAAGTCCCACTTGAACTGTCATTACATACTTTGAAAAATTAAGTTATAATTAAGTTATAATGTCCCCTTTCTATTTTTATCAAATTCCTCCCTGAATCAGAGGAATGATACCCAGGACTTCTGAATGTATTTCACAGGTACCATAATTTAAAGATTTGGCCTAAAAAAGAACAGAACTTGAGTGATCAGGCAATTTGATCGAGTCTGAGGAGAGGTAAATAAAAACTTCTATTAGGTAATGTTTCGAAGTAGAAAGCAAGGCCATTTGGATGCCCAATTACCAAGAAGAAAATCACTTTATGTGGAAAATTCTCAGGTTTGACAATAAAAGACAGGCAGTGCAGAGCCCTAGGGTAGATGGTTTAAGACATACATATATATATATATATGTATATTCTCAAAAACTATCAGTTTGAATTTAAATGGTTCTGCACTGAGCTTACACCACCTGTTTTGGAGAATTTCATTCAATTAAAATGTAATAAATCTAAAAGTTTTCTTCTTGTTTGTAATTTAGACCAGTCATGTGTTTATTATGTCCATTTCACCGTGAGAGTGTCACGAAGTGTCTCCTTGCGGGCTGCGCACACTTTGTACGCCGTGCTTAGAAACACCTCAGTGAGAGAGACGGCTGGAAATAACCTTCAAAACGCTCTTTTCCCGCAGTATAAGGAGCGGCTGGTGAGAGCCTTCACAGAGGACGCGCTGCCCTATTTTTCCGGAGGGGCTTCCCCGCGTCTCCAGCCGCTCGTGGACAGCGTTTACCCCCTGCACAAGATCGCAGAGGCACACAGGGTTATGGAGGAAAACAAGAACACCGGCAAAATCGTCATCGAAGTGCCCGTTTGCTTCAAGAAAGGGCCCCTGCTGTAGCTGTGCTGGGTGACAGGGTCACCGCGGGTGTTGCACTGCAGAGATCCTGCCGCTTTCTGCTCCAAACCGGGATCGCTTATTGGGGGCGGTGAGGAGGGGCAGAGGATTACGGGAGGCGTTTATTGAAAAGGTGGCGAGGAGGGGTAAAGGATAACGGGAGGCGTTTATTAAAAAGAGGTTCGTGTTGCAGTTCTCTTGCCGTGTATTGAAGGCGCACGCGGCGCGGGGACCTCCGCTCCCTCAGAGCCGAGGGCGGGGCCGGGGCTGAGCGGTGCGCGCCGGGACAGCTCCGGTCCGTGAGGGGAGCGCGGTGCGCGCCGGGACACATCCGGACCGTGAGGGGAGCGCGGTGCGCGCCGGGACACATCCGGTCCGTGAGGGGAGCGCGGTGCGCGCCGGGACACATCCGGTCCGTGCGGGGAGCGCGGTGCGCGCCGGGACACATCCGGTCCGTGAGGGGAGCGCGGTGCGCGCCGGGACACATCCGGTCCGTGCGGGGAGCGCGGTGCGCGCCGGGACACATCCGGTCCGTGCGGGGAGCGCGGTGCACGCCGGGACAGCTCCGATCCGTGAGGGGAGCGCGGTGCACGCCGGGACACATCCGGTCCGTGAGGGGAGCGCGGTGCGCGCCGGGATAGATCCGGGTCTCCCGCCCAGCGTTCACGATCCCGGCTGGTGTTCCTGTTCCCGGGCTCCTTCCCCGCCGCTGTTCCTGCCCCAGGCCAAGGCCCCCGCCTTCAGCCCGCAGCCATGGCGATGCAAGCGGCCAAACGAGCCAACGTGAGTGCGCTGCGCTGCCCCGTCCCGCCCACCCTGGGCTCCGGCTCCACTCCTGGGGAAGGGAGCCCATCCTGCTCCAGGCATCCCGCTGGTCCGACGGGAACGCGGCAGGAGGGTGGGACAGGGTGATCTTTAAGGCCCCTTCCAACCCCGTTCCATGGTTTAGCCCGTAAGGTGCCGGGTTTAAGGTTTGTGGTTACGTGCCCCGGATCTAACAATCCCCGTGTCCTTTCTCTCTCAGATCCGGCTCCCCCCGGAGGTGAACCGGATCCTGTACATCAGGAACCTGCCGTACAAGATCACGGCCGAGGAGATGTACGACATCTTCGGGAAGTACGGCCCCATCAGGCAGATCAGAGTGTAAGTGTTTTGTTCTCCTTTGGGACTGAAGGGCTCCACGTGCTCCAGTGCCGGTGTTCTCACCTCAGGGGGTGACAGCTGGGATCCACAGCTGGAAAGGCTCAGTGCCCTGAGTGCCAGAGAGGGATGTGATGATGCTCTTAAGTGAATTTGTTAGAAAATTATATTGCTGGGAGGCGGGGGGGAAGAAGCTTAAATTTCATGTGAACTTGGAGAAGTTAGTAAAATATGAGACTTGTTCTCTTGAGTCTCAAATACAGCTGAGCTTTTACCTTCACTGGAACTAAAAATAAGAAAGGCAGAAGCTGAACAGTTTTCCTGTTTAATGAGTATGAGATAATTAATGGGAAAACAGATGTTGATGTTGCTGCTGGACCTGTGGACTAGAAACAAACACCAGCAGCAACCTCTATGGGTCAGAGACAGGGTGTCCTCGACCACACAGGGTCTGGATAGTGGGGATGTGACTGTGACTTTGCTTATAAATGCCTGGAGATTGTACATGTCTGCAGCAGCTCTGAGGTTCTTCTCACTGCTGGTTCAAATACTGAAGACATGAGTGCTGGTGTTGCCTGTTATCCTGAGAACTGTCTGAGTCATCAGAATGGTTTGGGTTGGAAGGGACCTTACGGATCATGATGTTCCAACAATCCTCGTGCCATGGGCAGGGACACCTTCCACTGCACCAGGGTGCTCCAGGCCCCATCCAACCTGGATGCTGTGGATTAAACCATCGTTCCATCTGGGTGGTATCATGATCCACTAAGTTTCTGGCAGAAAGAGTTGTCTGAAGCTGGAATTCAGGGAGAGCTTTTGAGGACTGTAGTAAGGCTGGTTGGAGTATGGACACTCATACAAAAGGATTTTTTTTTTTTTTTTGCTCCTTCTAAAAGAATATTTAGGAAGGGGAGGAAACAGAACTTGGTGTTTAATACAGTGTGAGACAGATTTCAGTAGATGCACACATAGAAAGGAAATGTAGTTTGTATTTGGTGTGGGGTGGCTTTATTGTACTGCTTTTATCAATGGTGGCAAAATAGCCTGCAGCACCTCCTGAGTTCTTGATTAAGCTGCTGATCAGATTAGAGCAGAACATACCCTTGTCATTTATATGGCTTTCTGTTTCCCAGTTCTCTGAGACTGGGATGGGAAATTAATGTTTGTTTTGACTGTGTAGGATGTAAATACCTAAATTGTCAATGCTGCTTAAACAGACCAAGTGTAACAACCTAAAATAGAAGTGCTCATTTCAGAGCTGTAGTGATTAAAATCATAGGATGGTTTGGGTTGGAAGGGACCTTAAAGACCATCTAGTTCCAACACCCTGCCATGGGCATCTTCCGCTAGACCAGGTTGCTCAGGGCCCCATCCAAGCTGGCCTTCCAGGGATGGCACATCCACAGCTTCTCTGGTAACCTGTTTGATTGTTAATTGTATAGAGCAAAGTCAGTTTTACAGGCAGAGTTGGCCTCAGCAGACCAGGAGGGGGGGCACGTGCTGGTGGTGCTGTGCTGGGATGTGCAGCTGGACAGACCCTTCTCCTACAGGGAAGCGCGGCAGACGTGGCCGGGGAATGGCTGAAGGAACAAGGGGAAGCATAAACACTGCTGGGCTAAACAGGTGGAGTTCTTTGCTAATGAGCATAAAGGACAGCCAGTACTTAAGGTTTCTGAAAACACGTAGGCTAGAACAGTGTGACAGTGGGACATAAGGAATTGGGTTGTATCGGGAGCTTTCCATCAGAGTGATGCACTGACAGGTGTGTCCAGCAGTTTGTTCAGAACTACTAATTCACGTTGTTTCCCACAGAAATCCCAACATCATCACGAGACAAGGCATAAGGTCGATCCCCCTTTGTAATGGCTTTTGTGCCTTGTGCAGTTTTTATCCCATTCTCCACCTTTGTACACATCCCAGGGTGGATATGTGACATGCCATTTGTCCTCGGGAGTTCTCAGAAGCACCTTGGAGACAGTTGTTCTGATTATTAAGTCTGTATAACTGTATTTTAGTTGAAACCTTTGGGATCTGTAAACTCTGTGGTCCCTCTGGGCTCATTAGTGTTATGTGCCCAGCCATGTGTCTCATCCCTCGGGCGAAGGGAGTGGAATTGGTGCTCTACTGAGTGATGGCTGTGGCTCTGCAGTGGGCTTTCACCAGCAGGGCTGTTCTGACTCCTAAATTGACTTCATGATGTGCCAGGAGCCCTTTTCCACCCTAGGGACACATCTGATCCAGACAGCCATTGACAGCCAGGTCTTGTAATATTAAATAAAACAAGCTAATTGCTGTAATAAAGACTTAAATCATTTCCAGATACATGGCAACCCTGACAAAAGCTTCTGATAGTTGTTGTGGGGAGGTGCATTTTCCTTAAGGAGCAAAATAGAGCACACTCTCCTGTTGTCTCTGGCTCTGAACTGTTTGGTGTGGAAAACAGGGATGTAGTTTAATATCTAGAAAAAATAAAAAGTTGTTTTTTAGTGAAGTCACATTAGTTCATCTAATCTCAGTCACTGTGAAATAAATAAATGTTCGACTAATAAAACTATTTCTTGTTCATTTTATTCAATGTTAAAACTGATGTTGCTCTGCAGTGGGAACACCCCTGAGACCAGAGGAACAGCCTATGTGGTGTACGAGGACATCTTCGATGCCAAGAACGCCTGTGATCACCTGTCAGGGTTCAACGTCTGCAACAGATACCTCGTGGTTCTCTACTACAACGCAAACAGGGTATGTGCACCAGGCGGGTTTGTTACCTGTGAACAGAGCCAGCACAAAAAAACAAGCCCAAAATCAGTTTGTAAAGACAGTTGCTTGGGTATTCTTAAGAAATAAACTCCAGCTGTTGGAGGGAGTGGATTGGACACATGGTCAAGGTTTCATCTTTACGTGGGGATTTGTGTGCCAAACAAAGTACCTTTGGACCAAGGGTGTGAAAGAAATGTTTCTGGTGCAAGTAGTCTGGAGAAGAGGAAGCAGGGGCCTCACACCAGCACAGCTGCAGCAGGATGTGAGATCTTTTTTATGGGTAAAAAGTCTCCAGTTCTGATGTCCTGCCCGTCACTGATGGTGTCCAAGGCCCTGTGATGTTCTCCAAGGGCGAGAATCAAACAGAGCCGTGTGTGTGATGGTGATGGATTTCATAGTGATGTTGGTTGCAGTTACTGGGAAACAACATGTCCTAAGATGAGAGATTCTTTGTCATCTCACATCTTTTGTTTTCCTAATTACAGGCATTCCAAAAGATGGACACAAAGAAGAAAGAGGAACAGCTTAAACTTCTCAAGGAAAAATACGGAATTAACACAGACCCACCGAAATAAACTATCTTTTTTGGAAAACTGTTTTCAAGCCCTGCCATCAAGTTCTTAACCTAAACACAGGAATTCTCAACAAAGTGTAACTTTTTCTCTTACAAGTTTGATAAGCTGCAATATGAATCTTTAGATCTTCACATTAGAATTAAATAAATGTAAAACATGGGAAGATCTGCTTTAAGATTAAATCCCCCAAGTGGATATGGGCTCTCCAAGCTGTGAGGGTGACCTGGCAAAGGCTGCATTGACCTGTTTCTAGCAGGAGCTTTAAAAAGGGACTGAGCAGGTTCTGTTTGATTGAACAAAGCAAGCCTATGTTTATAGCAAAGTTTCTTTCACAAACTGTAGAAGATAAATGGCCTTTTAAAAGTATCCAGCTGATAAGCTGACTCCAGTCAAATCTTGTTCTAACAGTGGTGCCAACACTGACCAGGTGCAGTGAAACAACCCTGCTCTCACAGTGCTGTGCTGCTGGGCTGAACTAAGGCTGTACAAGGTCTTTGATGTGTATACCAGGTTTGTACTGAGGACTCTGAATTAGAGAACACTCGACCAAAATGAGACAGTAGATGGAGGTTTTGATTTTGGTACCCATACTGTGATTGTTTTCTGTCTGATGTGTTTGAACTGTAACACATTTTCTGTACATAAATTTTTAGGTGTAGCACCTGGTGGAGGCAAAACCAAATTTACATTTTTTGTAGATTTTTTTTCTTCAGCAGTCAT